GTTTCAGCTTCTTAAATGTGAGGTTTTGCTGCTTGTCTTCATCTTATATCGTGGTAAACTGAATATTTTGTGGTTTGGACAAAACAAGAATTTGAACACATTGAGTTGATTTTCACAATTTTCTGACATTTTATAGACGAAACCATTAATCAATTAATCAATAGCAGATTATTAAATAATTAATATAATTGTTAGTTGGAATTAAACTGGATCATATATAATTAATCATAATTGTTTTTTTTAATTCTGCATTTCATTTGAACAAAACTAATAACACAATTACTTTTGTACTGTTATTTTAACAGATTTCTGTCAAATTTGTAAATTAAATTTAACTTAGAATAGAACTTTAATTACATGTAGAAATTATAAACATATGCATACGAATTAATACCTAATGGTAATTCCAGTTATTGATCTTTTCATCTCCCTATGTGCCTGATTTCTTACTCAGATTATGCCCAGACGGGTGGTGCGATTAGTCCTATATGGGCGTGGCTTCGTTGACAACGTCACCATCTCTACCACTGCCCACATGGCTGCCTTCTTTGCCGCCAGTGACTGGCTGCTTCGCAACCAGGATGAACGAGGGGGCTGGCCCATCATGGTCACCCGAAAACTGGGTGAAGGCTTCCGGCCTCTGGAGCCCGGCTGGTACTCGGCCATGGCTCAAGGCCAGGCCATGTCCACCCTGGTGAGAGCCTACCTCCTCACAAAGGACCAGGCTTACCTCAACGCTGCCCTCAAGGCAGTAGGACCCTACAAGGTGCCTTCAGCGCAGCACGGGGTCAAAGCTGTGTTCATGAACAAATACGACTGGTATGAAGAATACCCCACCACACCCAGCTCCTTTGTCCTCAACGGCTTCATCTACTCCCTGCTGGGACTCTTTGACCTGACTGAGACAGCCGGAGAGAAGCTTGGCAGGGAGGCTGGGCAGCTGTTCAGCCGCGGCATTGAGTCACTGAAGGCCATGCTGCCACTCTTCGACACAGGGTCTGGGAGCATCTATGACCTGCGTCACTTCATGTTGGGCACAGCGCCCAATCTGGCACGCTGGGACTATCACACCACGCACATTAACCAGCTACAGCTGGTGGCATCCATAGACAACTCTCCCATATTCAAGGATGTGGTCAAGCGCTGGAAAAACTACTTAAAAGGGATTCGTGCCAAGCACAACTAGGCAAACTATGACTGACATATAGTATAGAGCTGAGATGATGACTGAAAGGTTGAATATATGTTACGTGTGAGAACTTAATGGATGATTTAAATGTGAGGCAAATACTCACATTGTGTGTCTGTGTGCGTCCCAGTTTTGGTTGAGGTTCATAATCTAAAGGATGAGTTTATTCAGCTGCAGCTCTCAACACTCGTGTGCTCTGTTGCAGGTTTTATATTTTCTGCAACATTGACTGTAGCTCTACTCTCCTGTTTTCTTTTTTTCCTTGAGCTAGTGTTTGTTATTATGCACAGACCTAGTTTCAAAATGTGAGTGTTCAGGAAGAGTGTGTGTGTGTGTGTGTGTGTGTGTGTGTGTGTGTGTGTTAAAGTAACAATATATGTTAGAGAATTGAATTGTTGAAACTGAATCACATTTCCGACATTCTTTGATGCATCCACCACAAGTCTCTTCTCCAAGTATGTATTTTTTTACCATTTCAGCCAGATTAGCAAGTTTATTGAAACAAGTAAACTTTAAAAAAACAACGCAGAATATATTATAAATTATTTTGAGGAGAATGTTGCCAAAAAAAAACAATCTTATCAATACCTTTTGGATTTTATTTCTCCAATGTAACCTTTTTTTTTACCCCATAATCTTCAAAAGTTTTAAATGAAGAGGTATTTTTTTTAAGCATACCATGTTTAAGCTGTGAGATGAATTAATTTGGCTATCATCCCTTTACAGAAATGCTGAAGAGTCGAATGCTTCATGCTTCCAAAACGGCAGCTTCCACTTCTGTTCTGAAGCCCTTTCCCCCTAAAACACAGTTAAATTGTCACAAATAATTTCAGTGAGGATTATGTTGTTATATCTTCAGTGAGCTTAACTTCTTTAAACTCCTTTTTCTTTTTTTCTCCCCCTTTTTAATATAAATATTAAGTCATGGATTAGGTGTCTGTCAAGCTGCTTGAAATGAGCTCTGAGGAATAAACACCTCAAACCACTATATTGGATTTCAGATGGTTAAACCGGCTCCCAATTACCAGAGGGTCTTCCTGCTTCCTACCCACAATTCCACTGTGTTTATCTGAGCTGTTGTGTCGGCACATCTGGTCAGAGTTGTTTGCATGACTGCATCTTCGGTCATGTGACTGACCCTGGGACCAGGTTGTGTTTCAGTTGAGACTGGGATAGACTGCAGGTTGCATGTGTTACATTCCCTGAGATAAACCCATCAGGCCTGCAACAATCTTTAAAAGAAAAATAAATTCTAATTAATGATTCATCCTAATTAGACATCAGTGCTGAAGCCACTGAAATGCTGGTACCTTTTATGTGATGTTTTAAGAGGACATCTCCGTGCTGCCATTCTTAGCTGTAACCAAAAGTGTGTGTGTGTGTGTGTTGGTCACAGAGAAACTTAATAATTCATGTGCCATTGCAGAACACAGCTACAGTTCTGCATCACTTTGAGTTCAGTTCAGCTCAGTTAGTAAAACATAAGTTTCCCCCCATCAGAGCGGAGTCGATTTAGCACAGATACGCTTGCAGCTGGTCACAAATCACAGTTTGTTGTAAAGACGGCCTCTAATTTCACTGATCAAGCCACTGTGGCTCTGTCCTTCTCATGTGCACAGTTTGGGTAAAGATAGGAAACGGTCAGTCAGCCAGATATATTTAACTTCATCATAAGTGTGTGTTGTCTTGCAGTGGACACAAGCAGGAGTGTTCAAATTACACCGTGGCTTTCAGGGTACCCTCTTATTCAGGGGTCGGAGGGTACTGGATGCATGCATATGTGCAAAAATAAACCAGTATATTTCAGTTCGTACGGAGAATATTTAGCCTGGGACAACAGAGAAACAAGAATTATTAACCATTACAATGTTGTTGTTTTGTTGTTGCTCTCTGCTGAGTAAATGGTGAAATTCCCATTGCTGAGACTAGACTGCACATATGAGCCATCTCTGATAATATTATCAATACTTTCTTCTGATGTTTACAGGGTTTTTTTTACTATTCTGACAAAGGCCTTCAGATGTAAATGAGTCAATCTTGGCACATTAGTCGTTGATAAATAAGATAAATGCAAATAGAAAAGTCCACTGAAGTTCAGATTTTTAAGATTCCTTCATCTTATAAGCAACATACACAGCGGCAGAAACGTTAAATAACATTTGTACTTTCATTAAACTTACTTTAAAAGCCAAACTTTAGCTTCAGATGAATCCCTTGACTTGTCATTGCTAAACATTAAAATATTTATGTTGCTTCACTTCCCTGGGTTTAAACGCCAACTCCATTAGACGTAGCTACATCTTTGTTAATTGTCGTGCCCCCTTTTGACCTTTTTTTAACTTGTTTACTTAGAAACTCCTCTGAAAAGCTCTTCTTCTATACAGGATGATAATTGCAGGGCAGGGCAGTGCAGGTGTGTAGGTGGTGTAGATGTATGTGTTGTGTATTCAGTAGATATACGCGTGGGCAGCAGAGGCACAGCTGCATCTCACTAACATGTCAATTTATAACATTTAAATAGACAATGCCAGGAGTGCTGAAGGTCGAGGTAAATTCTTGACAAACAGAAAGAAGCTGTCAGTCCCACCAGGCCTTCATTTCCCCTCTCAGCTGTTGTGGGTGCATGAACTCAGCGTTTTTAATCTCAGTGCTGCCCTGTTGACCGCTGAACGAGGAGAAACCGGCTTGCCAAGACACTAACAATTCACCCGGCTAATAGGCTGGAGAGCCTGCACGTAGTACAGTCGCTAGTCGGGGATGAGTCAGCATTCACTGGCATCGCTCTCACAAAGAAAACAAAGTGGAGCCCTCAGCATTAATGAGGCTTTCATCGATCTACTTTAAAGATTATTAATGGGACGCAGGAGATTGGAGCCGGTTTGTTCTTCTGAAAGGTGTTGATGGTGAATTTTCTTTGGTCATTTGCATAAAACAGGCGAAAAACTTTGAGCTGGAACCATGTTCTCATACACTCTTTCAAAAGTGTGAGCTTTTCAAGAATAAATCAGAAGAAGAATGGGATTCATATCGATTGAAACATTGGATAGAAAAAAAAAAGTCATGTCACTGAGTTGAGTTGCTTTTGTACAAACTCGTTATTAATTCCCCCGGGTACATCTTCTCTGACATTGCAGCTTCATCTGTTACTCAACTTCCTGCATTCAGAACTAAGTAAGAATGTGCAACAGAGTATTAGGGCCACTGTTAAGACAAAAAATCTTTAGATTTAGAGAAAAAAGTTATAATATTTCATGAATAAAGTCATAATATTAAGAGGAAAAAGATATATTTTGCAAGGAAAAGTATTAACTGTACAACACAGTTTGTATCTGCCGTATTGTACAGTTATTTCAGGAAAAGCTAAAACATGAGCATGTAAACCAATTTGAGTTTAATAATATCGTACAACATTTTGTTCCTTTTCACTGTAATGCTATGACTTTATTCTAATATTACAACTTTTTTCTCTAAATATTTTACTTTTAAACATATATTTATAACTTTATTCTTCAAATATTAGGACTTTTTCACATACAATTCTGCCTTTTACTTTATTCTCAAAATGTTTGTTTGAGTCCACCGATTTATACTGTGGATGTTTTTAGTTAAAAGATAAAATGTCATCCCAGAGAAGAGGTATGAGTGCACTTTTTTCTTTGTGATAATCAGTTTTTTTGGATGCTTTGTTCATTTCCTGGTGGCATTTTCTTCCCATGAATACTTGCATAATTCATACTTTGCCATTTTGACAGGACAAGTAGAAATATGTAGTTTTAAAGGGAACATTCAGGAATGGAAGTTTACTGTGTGATTAACTTAATCTGAATTTTGTTTATACCAAAGTCATTTGATTCAAGTACATTTTGAATTTGTATATTTTTGTGCAAACCGATTTCCATTCAGCATTTAATGACGTAAAGTCTCCTCGGAGACGCCACAGAGACACTGCCTTTTGAGAAATGCTAGTTTTTCAAATGTAGGTTGAATAGATTATAGCTGAAGTAAGATATGTAAAACTTGCTTATCGTAAAGGGGACGTGTGCAACTAGAGATTAGCATTTAGTCAGCTACTGTTTTAAAGGCAAAAGAGCCAATAGCTGCAAATTCTCCTTGAAAGTCTTTCTTCTTTTTCTTTTTTTGGAGTGCGTGTTTGCGTCATTCATCAATTGTTGTAATCATTTGCGGAGGAGTAGGATGTTTTGCTAGATAGACAAAAGCACAATGCCGTTTATTGTCACGTGGTTTCTGTTGTATTTCTTCTCGGATTGCTTTGTTTTTCTTTTCAGGACAATGTGCAACGCCTTCATTAAGGAAGCTGCTATTATTGTTCACTGTGTTACAGGTATGACAACTTCTTTTTCCTCATTTTGGTGGGTTTTTTTTCTTTTTCTATTTTTCCACTATCCATTTAAGACTTCAACACATGACCACTGAGGTCAAATGTGATTTATGCAATAAAATGTTTACTGGGGTTGTGACACCACAGGAGACCCAGAGCGGTTGTACAGACTTTGCAATCGAAGCACAATGTGCAAATGCTACCATTTTTTAGTCCAAGGAAGAGAGAGGTGTTTATATACAGAGTAAATCTTTGTGCTTTAAAAATTTGCTTTTTAAAGGTGTAAAAGAAATAAAAGCATTTTTCTTAAATATCTGGTCTAATCTCATCTTCTCTTGTGTTTAATCAAATGTCCGATATTGAGCCGAAAATTAATCTACTATTTTGATTAATTTATTATTGGCAATTTTTAAAGGAAATATACAAAACTTTTATTGTTTTCCATCTTTCTTTGTCATATGTGAATAAAAACATATACACATGTATATACACAAACATATCTATATATATATATATATATATATATACATATATATGAAATCAGGGGCATTCTTTTATATATGTAACACTGAATTGATTAATACAGATACATAATAGATTAATTGATACTGATAATAATTGTTATTTGCAGCCTTAGTCCACTGGTTTTATTTTGTGTTATTTTACATATTATATATTTTACTGTGTTGCAGCCCACAAGAAACCAAAAACTTCAAATAATTTACTTTGCATTGTTTCTGCAGTCGTACAATATTCATATAGATTTCAGCTAACAGTAAACATATGTCAAAAAATGTAAAGATAAAATAAAACAAGAAACACAATACAATGTATTTGAATTAATATTAATTTAAGTGTTATAATCAAACCCTTTTCTTCTTGATATCATATATCTTTATCTCTAGAATTTATTGGTAACTCTAGATTTTGAATTGAAGGTTAAGTTTTATCCAGTCCATCACTATTTATTTCCAGTTCTGATGATCATATCCAGATATTAGTTTATTTTGAGTCCATTCTGGTGGTTTCACAACTAAAATAATGCATTTTGGTTCAACTTCTGATGTCCATTGTTTGACAGCCTTGACCCTGCAGTGGAGAAACGGTTTGTTCATACTGAACGTCTTCTCTGTGAAACCGCTGAGAAGAAAAACAATCCTGATTAATAATTTATCCTAATTAGGCTATTCTGATCCAGTGAGGAGCACAGACACCTGAGAAGGACTGTATCTCCTGCCACCCACTTGCATTTTTCATTACCTTCTGGCATTTATACAATCCAGCCATAATTTCTCCCTCACAGCCACACACTTCACCCCACGCATCTCATTCCTCCCCTTTTCTCGACGTTAATGATATTACTGTCCCTCCTGACAGTGAGTCTGTCTCCCAGTACTGTAATTAGCCCCACATAAACCCGATAAGCTCAGTCTCTTCATGGCCTCTGTGCCGGCCTCTCTGCCTCCTCTGCTGCCGTTCAGATGCCTTCGAGATGGCTGTGATAACATTACAGCGAATCCTTGGTTCCCCGCCGTCCAGAGGCCACAGTCTTTATGGTGTCCATAAATTTACCCACTTGATGAAATTAACACCCCGTTGAACCCTGCATTATTGGATTTGTTTGTGTGTTGTGCGGGGGGTCTCGGAGGAGGTGGGGAAGGAGAAACTGGATGTGGAAGTATCCAGTGAAAAGAAAACAGAAACAGTACACCTGCTACACTTTTTATGAGTGCAATTTGATCATTCACATCCCAGAAGGTTTTTTTTTTGTTGAGGTTTGCGATAATTTCACCTTGATAAGTCGTTTTTTTCCAAAGTTTGAATCTTAAAGCAACAGTTCGATATTTGGGGAAATTTTTTGCTTTCTGGCAGTTAAAGATGAGAAAAATCGATACGCTCTCATGAGGTTTTGGAGGATATATTGGCAGAATATGGAATAAAATATTCATAGGTATGATTTTATTTGTGTGTAATAATAAGAACAGTTTTTGTTTTTGGCTTAGAATGAACTGTTTTTATTTATATTGCCAGCAGTTCCTCTTCTATGGAGTCCGCTATGTTTTACCACCGTGTTTCTACAGTAGCCCAGAACAGACAAACCAAACACTGGCTCTAGATAGGGGCTTTAACAGTGTCTTGGAGGGGAGGGTGCAATCTACAGCTCCACTGCTAGATGCCACTAAATCCTACACACTGGTCCTTTAAGGCTCTGTCCAAAGGTTAGAAAATACACCCACCAGCACCTCTTAAGTTAGGTTACTTTATTTGTACACGTAGGTGGATTTAAAGCTCACTAAACATGTTACATCTCCCCGGTTGATTTCTTGGCTCTGAGCGGCAATAATTTCCTGGACTCTCCACTGGTTGCTGGTTGTTGGTTGCTGGTTGCCAGACAAATTGTCGATTTTGCACCGATTAAACAAACAAAATATAACTATAATATTATTTAGTGAGCTTTACAGATGCTGGTGGCAGACCTTGGCTGTTTCCCCGTTTTCAGTCTTTGTGCAAAGTTAAGCTAACCGGCTACACCGGCTGCAGCTTCATATTTAAAGGACAGATATGAGAGTGGTATCGATCTTCTCATCTAACCCTGTCCTCTTATTAGCAGCTACCTCAGCAGTTTGCTTTAAAGCTTTACTAAATCATCAGAGAATCCATTTTTCTTTCCGCTCTGTGCCAAATCATTTTAAAACTTCACTTCTTATCTTGTCTCATTTGTGCTACTGAGCAAACAGTGCGTTTCAGCTCAGTTTCATCCTCTTCTTCTAAATGAACACCAGAGAGAAACGGTCATTACTGTAACATAAAATAAATCTCTCTCTCTCTCTCTGTCTCCGTTTCCAAAACCTGGTAATTGCTGTATTTTGCTCATTCATGAGCAGCTGGCATATTTTGGTTTTCGTGGTAGAGAGAATAAAAGTCTCCAGTAATGCAACCAACCGAGTCAGAGATGACGATGGTGCTGGAAGAGAGCAATGAGGAGACACAGCAGCTGTAGGGAGTCGTGTAAATAGAAAAATGAATAATAAAGATAAAGATGTATGTTAGAGAAAGCAAGTCTGTGTCGGAAGGGGACTTCTGGATTAAGTGAAGGAGAAAAGGCTGAGAAAGTCTAAAATTCAACAGAGAGTTGCCAGTGCCTGGAGTCTAACAACTATTAATAATGTATCAGGGGGCGTCTGCCACACACGCTCCTCATTTGGAGACACAAACTACACCTCATCAACCAGGGAGGCACCAACACTTTGAGCAGCTGCAGCACAGCAGCCCGGTTCAGTGAAGTCTACCTCCCATCTGTTCCTCTGTAACCCCACACAGCCACAACAGATCACAACACAAACTCAGCAGATCATCATCATTAGTATTATTAAAAACATAAGAAAACACGCTAAAAATTATTACTATTAATATTCATATTGTGTACATTTCTTTTTCTTATTTATGATCAGATAAGGAAAGGTTCTGAGTATTTCCATTTTATGCTTCTTTCAGTACTTCTCTCTACATTTCAGATGGAGATATTTCACTTTTTACTCAATTACATTTATATGACAACTGTAGTTACTGGTTACAAAACATACTGATAATGATGATAAGCTTATAAGGTAGGATGCACAGTTATAACTTACAATACCCAACACTAAATACTGTAAAGTAGTTGAAATTAGCTCCACTTTGATACAAACAAACAAAATCCACAATAAAATAACTATTCAAACACAATGACTTTTTCAATACAGGACTTTTACTTGTACTGGAGTATATTTATATTGCAGTGTTACTACTTTAATTTAAGTAAAGGATCTGAATCCTTGCAACATTTTCCATCATTATTTGATAGTTATTACGATTGAAACAATAACATGGAAGAAATATTTTAATATTGTAGGGGGTGAAGGTGCATAGAGCTAATTTTAACCACCTTATATGCTGTTGGGTAGTTTAATCTATAACATTACATCTTTACATTTGTTTGTACAAATCTGAATCTGCAAATAGCTGTCAAATAAATATAGTTAGATTTACAATATTTTTCTCTGAAAGGTATCGTATAAAGTACTATAATGCAGAAATACTCATGAGGCACCAGTTACTTTCATACAGTCCATACAGTATGTGCTGTGTTTCTTTGGTTCAAATGTAATATTTATGCTGTAAGCCTTTGAGTCATCTGAAGTAAACAAAAAACAAAGTCCTTTCAATATTAAAGAATGCAACGTTTGCACCCCTAACAATGGCTGAATGAATGCTTAATGTGAGAAGTTGTGCTGATGTTACACAAACATTCAGGGCTTGCCACAGGAGGCTCAGTTTGGATTGCATGTGAGAGAGGATGTGGGGGGGGGGGGTGTCTTTGGCCTGAGGCGAACTTGTTACTTTTTCTCATTAACAGTCAATAAAAGAAGAACACAGCGCTCCAAGACCTTTCTGTCCATGCAGTGATGCACTTTAATTCCCTGTGATGTCTCCAAAAGATGTAGCTTTGTACACTAAGGTCAGTGAGTGATAAATGAGTTAATAAGAGAGAAAAAAAACAAAGACAACACATAAAATATGAGGGCGAAGTTTTAGGACGCTGAGCTACTTTGAAGAAACCTTCAATTCAGGCTAAAAATAAACTGAACAAACAAAAACATTTCAGTGGTTTTGCTCCTCGTACGTCTTCATAAACACACATGCAGTACCTGTTCACCGCCGACCTGTGCAGGTTCTGTTTGAAGGCACTGACACCTTGTGGGGAGGTGGGATAGTGCAAGATATAAGCAGCTACTGGATCAGGAATACTTTCTCACAACAAGGCGGTAATAGATTGTATCAAGTATATTTTTATGTTTATCTACATAGGTGACCCATTTAAGTGTCTCATAATTTTCATCAAACACTGTCATTTGTTAAGTTTCTCCACTCAATAATTCTAGTTTTTCCTTTAATTTGTCATCATCTGTGTGTCTCATGTCGACATCAGACTGCAAACTCGATATCAATTTCTGTAAAAGCAGTAATGTAACACAGATTTTACATTACCTTGAGATATTAATGCATATACACACACACACACCACACACACACAGACACACACACACACCAACACACAACACACAACACACATAGCATACATATCATACATACATACATATATGATAAATGCATACATACATACATGCATACATACATCAGTGGTGGAATATAACTAAATGCAATTATTTAAGTACTTAAGTGCAATTTTTGGACTTGCACTTCACTCCTGTATTCCCATGTCTGTGTCTTTGACTGACTACTTTAAGATTGTACATACAGATATAAACTCTACCTCAACTAAACATAAAATATGGTGCATTGTTATAGATTTAATGGAGTGAAGCAAGAGCTACAGAGCATCATTGTTACCTACAGTAAACCACAACATTGTTTGGTGGTTCAGTAGTAAATGTACTTGGTTTGTTGTTTAAGCTGTTCAAGATAACATTTTTAGGTTTCTAAAGAGTAACACTCCCTGGAAATCTTGTTTCTGCTGACCTCCAGTGGTGAAACTTTGTCAGTACACAGTGACATAACTTGGTTTCAGGTGTCGCTGCATAAACACGTGGTTGTTTTGTTTATGTATCATTTAGAGCTGTTAATTCAGGGAAGCTTGAGTGGCGTGTGCCGTGGATTGTAAACCACACCCAACTGGGGTTTGGAGAGCACCCACGGAGCACCTCACCCAACCACACCCACCCAGCAATACTGAAGTGCTGCAGAAACCTTAAACCAGGGAGGGCAGTGAAACTCTTTCAGCCTGGTGTTGTTTGTTTGGCTGAATGTATTTTTTTTAAAGAAACAAGAAGTTAAACTTGAACATAACTATGTAACTAAGCGGATTGAGTTAATCTGTTTCTCTCCACTCAACAGAGACTGCTGTGATTTCTTTTCACCATATTCCTTCAAAAAACTTTGTTGTTGTAACTTGACCTTGTTTTCTATCCTCTGGCTCTCTTGGGGCCCTCAGCACTTGACTTTGTATATAGTTTTGCCACTAAAGTCTTAATGACTTACATATTAACTCACATGTTAACTGTATTAACTGACTCCAGGCCAAACCAAACTGACTTCCAGACAGACACGGATCTCCTGTTGGTTTATTTATTTTTGACTGCGAACCTTTGGTGTTGCTCTGACTTTGACTGCAGCTCTGCTCCTTGGAGAGAAAGCGGAATGAGATCCCAAGGTGCTCTGCTGTAGTACATGTATTATTTCATTGCACTGAGCTGTTGTGATCGCAGCTTACAACACAACACGGTGGATTACTGAAAGTGGTTTTAATGAGAGGCAAAGGCTGATGGTCGAGAGCCGACTCCTTTTGGCATAGCAGAATTGAAGCTTTTAAAGGAAACATCATGATAAATGATTTAAACATAGTTGATCCCATTTGAACTTGTAAACAGAAGCTTGGTACTGAGGATTAGCCATTTAAACCTAGAATAGTTTTGGTTTTGCATCAAGCCTTTGAGATGAAGCATTAACTTATCTTTTGTGTTTCAACCTAAGCAAGCATGACATTTTGTGACAGATTAATGAAAACAAAAGAGCTTCTGGATGCTCTAAAGTGATGTCAACAAAGTAGAAAAATACATCACACCAACAAAACGTATTATTGACTTTTTCTTTTATTTGTGACATTAGCAAATTGTCAAACCACAAACAACATCTTGCACCTTCCACTTCTTATATCTGCGGTGGCAGAAAGACGTGTTTGCTTTCATTGCTTCAGAGTTTAAACAAGATAACAGGCCCGGGAGCTCTGACTGGGCTCGGCCGTCCCCGCTGGGTGTGACGGCTGCCGTCGTTCTGAGGGCAGATTGCGACAAGTCAGTTTAACCAGGAGACGAGCAAGACAGAGGCCTGAAAGGAACTCTGACTTTTTAGCCCGACCGAATCACACCCTTCATTCATGATGTCAGCCTCATCTGGACCGGAGTTTCTGACACTTTCTAGCAGTAAAAAAGCTCAAATGATGTCAGTTGCAGACCATTAATGTCAATCACAGCTGGGGGTTTTGTCATTGAAGGAATGTGTCATTGAAGGAAACCTGCCTTCCCGGCTTGACTGCCCTCTCTTGTTGGAGAATTACGCAATAACAAAAAGCAGAGCTTTGTTTTGGAAACAACGATCTGTTATATAAATGTTAAGATGTTGTAATTGAGGATGACCGTAAGAATAGTGGCCATGATTCTCATGTAATCTTGAAAAACCTGTTTTCCTTTCACAGAAAAATATTCTTTTGACCAAGCAGCAGTTGTGTTTGTGTTTGTGTCTGTGTGTGTGTGTGTGTGTGTGTGTGTGTGTACATGCCTTTGTGTGTGTGAGTACACACCTGTGTGCACATACCCTCCACCTCCAGAGAGACAGCAGCAGCAGGAGGAGGAGAAGGAGGAGGAGTGGCACAGGTACACTGGATATTCTCGCTGGGTTTGAAGAGGGAGGAGATGAAGGGGAGAAACCTTAAGGACAGCATAGCAACACGAGCCCTATAAAGACGGAGGCACACCCTGCCGGCAGCTTCAGTTAAGCTCTCCTCTCAGACAGCAGCAGCAGCAGCAGCAGCAGCACCTTGCAGTAATCATGCTCAGCCTCATGAAATTACCGCGAGTCTTCACCATCAATCAAGTGCCCAAAGTAAGTTCATCTTCAATGTATCTTACTGGACATTCAGCACATTTCAGCTTCCACACAGTCAGAACTGTAAAAGAAAGTGTCTTCATTTGGCTCACAGAGACATACTTACTCAGTCCAGCATGTGTTTGTTTAAGAGGGAGGCATTTGGGCAAAAACATCTGCCAATCTAATGTAATGTAAAGGAGTTCTCTCATATAGCTTTTTGGCTTGTGACCCCTTAAAACAAATCAGTGTCTATTTGAGTTCAACCAAAGAGTGCTTTCTCCTTCTCAGATTGTTTGATTTGAGAGAACATCTGTTTTCATCATCTTGTGACCCTTCAGATGTATCTTTTGACATCTTGAACCCCGGCTTGGGAACCACTATGATATTTTTATAGGTTTTCACACTAAACATTGTTTAAAACAGATTTGAGAAACCTCTTCTGTCGTCAAACTGACTTGAGTTTTCTTTTTCAAGGTTTTCCATGAGGACAGCATCATCTCCGGCTACCGACACCCCCGCAGTTCAGCCACTGACTGCATCCTGAGCCTCTTCCAGCTGACCAATGAGACGCTCAACATCTGGACCCACTTTCTGCCCACCTGGTATAGTTGACACATTATAAGATTCATAAACATGTGTTTGGTGGACTGACAACATGTAACACACCTGAGGCATTTACATTAAGTTGTTTTGGAAGCAAGTTGGAGGTCACAACTCTGGTCTCAAGTACAGTCTACAGTCAAGATTTGTTTTATTCTCACCAAAGCAGGGTGCAAGGTGTTTTCATGACAATCAGGCATCGCAAGCATTCTTTGGTCAACTTCATGTTTAAAGGAATCTTGCGCAACCTGTTGAGCTTATAGTCAGAGAATAATCCAGAATTTCTTTGTGTGGTTTTACAGACTGACGTTGAAAGTCATTGCTCTATACCAATTATCACCCAAAGACATCAGTTTTGTCACATAAAGACTACCATTAATTTTTACTGCTTATATGCAGAGGTACAGTATCTCTCTGCTTAGTATTCATACTCAGTGAAGTCAGTTTTTTATTAATTATTTGATCCTTTATTTAAACAGTTAATCTTACTGAGATCAGGATCTCTTTTTCAAGAGAGACCTGTGTACAGAAAATAAATATATACAGTTTAAGCATAGACAGACGCACTCTTTATTTAATTACTAATTACTTTAATTAACAAAAGCATTTAAAAGTGTTATTGTGAAAGTACAACCTTTGAAATGTTAAAGCAGATTACAGAAACTGTAACTTTGTATTTGTTTGGCTCTACTTGCATTTGTATGCAGCTGTAGTATCAGTATCAGTATGTTTAAATATCCTGTAAGTAATGTATTTAAATGTAACCAGAGAGCTTTGGTAACTACCCTTATAGATAAACAACATACAGTGCTGCTCCCTCCTGTTTCTGAAGGAGGACCCTGTGTATATTTATCACCATAGATGCTCTCTTCAAAGGGTTCTAGATAGAGGCCACGAGAGCAGCAGACTTTACATTAAGCTGTTGTGGATACTGTAGACAGTTGGCAGAGGAAGCATACAGTATGTGCCAAATCACTCATTTACAGCCATCAGTAATATGAGAAGGATTGCACATACTGACATGTTTGTTATCCTACATCCCAGCAACCATTTGGGTCCTACAGACCTGCGGCCTCACAGTGTCTCCCTGTCAACGACCTTTTATGTCCAACAAGCTTTAAGTCCAACAGGACTCTCATAGTACTGTTGCATTTACACAGTTTATTAATTCTTTATTCAACATTTCTTCAACTTTGTCCCACACTCTGTAAAAACGTATATTGTTTGGGATCCAATGCTTGAATGTCCAGCTTATTGGTTAGGTAATTCATCCAATCAGGTTCTTCAGAAACATTGTTAGCTTACCTCCAAACATACATTTTATTTAGGATAAAAAACTCCAAAAAGCATTTCAGTCTCACATTTTAAACCATGATCCACTGATCAGTGTTTTATGTGGCTATTGGTACATCAGCAGCTGTAGTGATGAGGCAGTGTTGTGCATGGGGGTTATCTAAACCAAAAAGTTAATTTTGATGTGATAAAGTGTTGCAACGTAAGGTGTCATGAATCAGTCTAACTTCTTAAACTGAGTTGACACAACTAGCTGCCCTAAAATTGAGTAAACTCAGAAAGACTTTGCAGCATGTTGAGCTTGTTGAGTTTTCCAGTTTCTACATTTTTACAGTGTATTGAGGGACTTAAAGGTCCGATGTGTAACATTCAGGAGGATCTATAGGCAAAAATGGAATAAAATATCCATAGGTGTGTTTTCATTAGTGTGTAACCACCTGAAAATAGGAATTGTTATGTTTTTGTCACCTTAGAATGACCCATTCACATCTACAGACGCCACTGGTCACCTTGCATGAGTCCGTCATGTTGAACTGACATGTTTTTTACAGTAGCCCAGACTGGACAAACCATGCACTGGCTATAGGTTCATGTTTGCACGTTTCGTGGCCACCGTAGTTTCTCCTTCTCACTTGGATGGGTAAAAGCACACGACCAGACGCCACTAAATCCTACACACTGGACCTTTAAGATGCAGACAGAAAGGCTAAAAAGGAAAAAACATGGAGGTTAAATCTATCCCAGACTTGTGGCAGCTCTGTAACTGATATTTTTTGCATGTACGTGTCTGAATTCAAATTTTAGTTACTACAGAGGTTACTGCTCCCACTAGCTACACTTCACTTCCTCCCTGCTGAGATGCCAGTTGCTTTGACTGCATTGTCCAGGGAGAAAGTGTGTGTGTGTGTGTTTGTGTGAGTGTTGGAAGATATGCTAAGGGCACATGGGTCTATGTCTCATGGGGCTCGGCATAGACCTACAGGCCAGCCGCTAATGAGCAGATCTGTGCTTAAGGACTATATATGAGTTGCCACAATTAGTTAACTGCTCAGTGACGGGGAAAAGCACAAATAATGTTGATTTGTTAATGAGGCGCACTGAGACGTGGACACGGTGGCTGCGATACACAAATACACAAGGCAAACTATAGCCTCCTGATAAGATTAAGCTTTTTGTGTTGAACTGGTAGCTGTTACGAAACTGACAGTTGGTGACAAATGCATAATTTAACTGTGATAATGTACATGATACTTAATTATGAACATCTTGGGTTTTGCCTACATTGACAGGTACTAACAGGTTCAGAGATGACAGCCCAGCCCAGTTTGTGCCATGAATCATAGCTAATTAGATGTCCTTATTACTGTGTATTTATATCTTATTACATGTTAAGCAATGAGATATATATGTATTAAGATGTAAAAATATTATTCGTCACAATGTTGGCATTCGGCTGATAATAATAATAATAGGTTATTGGGCGTTACACAGGAGGAGTTGGTTATTTTGTAGTCTCTATCTGACGGGCTTAATGGTTCAGTGTTTACTGTCACCTCACAGCAAGGAGCTGTTTAAATGTTCCACTTTGTTTTAGTTAGTTTAAATAAAATACTTTCACATGTTCTCCCTTAGTGAAAGTTAGATGAAAAGATGAAACCACTCTCATGTCATGAAATATGGAGCTAGAGCTTGGAGAAAGTTATCTTAACTTAGCATAAATACTGGAAGCAGGGGGAAACAGGGAGCACGGCTCTGTCCACTGATCAGAAATACACCTACCAACACCTCTAAAGCTTACTACTAATTAACCTGTTGCACCTTGTTGTCTGGCAGTGCCAAAGCCTGGAGGGAGAAGTTGGTGTACACTTAAGCCCACATTCGGTGTATGATGTACAAATGTCATTCACCAAATTTTCAGCTACTCCTTTCTTATCTCACACAAGTGTAAATATTGCATTGGCGCTACTATACTACGATTGATAGTGTGAGTGATGGTATTATGCAATTAATCACGTGTAATCATTCATGTAGTAACAACTTACATTGAAGAGAGAGAAAGTGATCAGTTGACACAGTTTTAGCTTTAGCTGCTAGATACTGTACATTCTTTATTTTACTCTGACTGCTATTAATGTTTGCTACTTCACTTATAGACTAACAAAAGGCTCACTGAAGAGTGTTTTTCTCTTTTAGCCAACCCTCGTAAGGATCAGTAATAACCTTCTCTCCCATTCACTTGATTAACGCTGGGTGGAAGCTACATACCTTCCCTTTAACTGTATAAGTGTACAGATGACAAATTAAAAGAAAAACAACATAAAGCTCAAAAGATTTCCATCTGTGTTTAGTTGGGTTGATATCTGATGACTGTGAAGGTCTTGAAACCATTCAGTGGTCCCTCATGTCCCATACGGTATCTGCATTTGTTGTTTTTCCTTTAATTTGTCAGGCCTCTGGATGTTTAGACACTCATCTGCTGCTCCTGTTGTATTATGTACAGTTTCAATTAGGCCTTGATACCTTGTTTATATGATTAAGTGGATCCACCAACCTCAACTTTCTTCTACTCTTCTTATTCAATTGAAAACATTATCAAGTGTACTGCTGCATCCAATCCAATCAGCTTAATGTAACCTGTTTGTCCTGGCAGGTACTTCCTATGGAAACTAGTGACGGTGGTTCTGATTCAGACAGCCTGGCAGGACTCCTTTACCTGGCCTCTGCTGGTCTTCCTGCTCTCCTGCTGCATTTATCCGCTGGCGTCGAGCTGCGCTCACACCTTCAGCACCATGTCGGCGCGGGCTCGCCACATCTGCTTCTTCTTTGACTACGGTGCCCTCAGTTTCTACAGTCTGGGTAAGTGTATGTGGTTCAGGGTCACTGACCAAGAGTGAGAAATGGTATTAGAGTGGTTCTGTTTTATGTACAATGTTGTGACTGAACTTTTACTCATAACTTAAGTTGACTTGAGTATCAGTAACTCAACCAGATATGGTATGTGAAAGACTTCTATGATGTATGAAATTCTGTGTATCTTTAAGAAAAATGCAGCAGTTTGGTGAAATGTTTTGTTGTGTGAAACATTTTTAGTTTTAGAGGCAATAAGGGAAGTCAAAATATGCTTTTGTTTGTGTGTGAACATTTTAGAGGTAAGAAAAGTGAACATCTCAAATAATTCAAAAGTAGAAAGACGACAACAACAGAAATACTCTTACATGAATTAATTAGAAATCCTCAGCGGTCAAACTGCTTGTGAATGGTTATAATATTCTGATATTTATTATTTACAGCCCTGAAATAACCTCTGTCTTAGTGAAGCTTTACTGTTCAGTGGTTGGTACTGATTGACTCTCTTTTGTAATGTGTGAGGTGGTGGTTAGTGGTGGTGTTGTATTAGATGGCGTTATATTGACAGGTGTGTACGTGTAAATGTGTCTGGAGTAGTACAGATAGATTCAAAGTTTACAATTGTGCACTGTTGATGTGTCCTGCTGCAGGGTCGGCAATCACCTATTCAGCTTATGTTTTCCCGGACAAGTGGGTGAACAGCTTCTTCCACCGGTGCTACGTTCCCATCGCTGTGCTCAACACTGTCATCTGCACCAGTGTGGCCTGCTACTCCAGGTATGGTGAGACAATGTATTTTACAGAGCTACTAATGTTCTCTTAAGTCACAGAGCTAAGCAAGGCTGAGCATTGGTGGCGTATCTAGGCGTATGTTAGCATCATAACAAACTAACATGCTAAATGCTACATACGACATGTTAAAATGTTCATATGCTAAATATAACAAGCTAAATTTCATTAAGATTCAGTAGTTGTTAATATTCTCAGCATGCTCCTAGTATGGAGGATAACTTAACTCAGAGAACTATGCTACAGCTGCTACTATACACTGACAGACCCTTACCAATCTTACTCCGCATACCTAAATCTAATCAACCAAAGCAATGAACTAGCCAATCAGAGGCTGAGTAGGGCATGTCATGACTTTGCCACCCTGGGAAAACATTTTTGACCTATTGAACCTGCCTTTGTCAAGTTCTTCTCAAAATTAACTAAAAACTAGATGTCTTTATTCAGTGTTTTATTCCCAACTTTTCCACTTTTCCATATCAATCACATCACAGTTTAATTTGTAAATAAGAACAATGTTATACCCCAAAAGTTTAGTCCTGATCCATGACAACATTTGAAAGTGACTGGTCTCAGATATTTGTGCACTTTGAGTAAACATGTTACCTAAAACCTGCCAAACAGCCTGATCACTGTGGTTGGCACACAAAGCACAATGGGGGTGTGTTTTCTTTCTCCTTTTATAAATTCCTACTCTTTAAAAGATAAAATGATAAATCTCTGGAAATGTAACATTTGTAGGAGCTTTGTCATTGAGAAGAAACAGCTCACTCATTCTGTATCAATACAGTGCTGTTCCACCTCTTGCGTTTATGATTAGCACGTTATTAGCACTGTTATCTCTTCATGTACTGGATTATTGTTGGCTTGCTATAGCTAATTATTGTTCTTTCACTCATCTCTCCCCACTGCTAAGGCTTGGCTTACCATTTCTGCAATATAATCATGACATCGTAAAGAGGTAAAGACAATGCATTTGCTAAAAAATCTGCTCCTCTATCTAAAACTGTGTTTACTGTGCATCCAATGATGGTAGCAATATATCTTGTTAACACCTTCAGACAGACTTAATCCCAAATACATTTTTAACTCGGATTACAAAAGTAGAATTGAGCAATTGACTGTTTAATGCAATGGGTGTTACCTAACTGTGACTGCAGGGACCAACCCTTAACACTGATTTAATTGTGTAGTTTCAGCTGAGCAGGTTAGAAGAACTGACAATAAGAGTGGCCAAACGTGTTATGTAACAACTTGACAGTCCAGTGTGTAACATTTAGGAGGATCTATTGGCACAAATGGAACAAATTCATTGGTATGTTTTCATGGTGCAGTTTTGTTTGAATGAGCTGTTTATATATATCTCTACAGAAGCCCGGAACAGACAAACCAAACACTGACTCTAACGTTTGAAAAAAACGTTTGCGTTTTCTGTCTGTTTCGTGGCCACTGTAGTTTCTCCTACTGGCTTGGAATGGGAGGTTGAGGCTAGGGGGTTGTAATCTGCATCTATGGTGCTAGATACTACTAAATCCTGCACACTGGACCTTTAACTCTGAGAAAATCAAAGATGGTTAAACTTTTTTTTTTTTTAAATGTGTGTACATGAAAGGTCTGTGAAGCATACCATTTATGTACAGTCTGTTAAAAATGTGTTTATTTATTTTAAGCTCTTTGGTTTCAAAAGTAGTGTTTGTTTTTTTTTAATCCATAAATCTGTAGCTACTGTGCACGTCCACAATCCTCAGCAGAGAAGTATACAATGCTGGTTAAGTCTGACATAACATTTAAACTGTACCATTGTGGATACTATATACACAGCTTTGTAATTCAATTTTAATTCCTTTAGTATTGTGTTTTGTGTTTTATGTTTAATGACAGCACGCCATTCACAATGGGTTTGTGGGAGTTAATTTAGCCACCAAGACACCTGTGTTATAATTACAATGTTAACACTCGTAAAAAATATTGTTTTTTATCCACCCTGTGATTTGGATCCACTCCTTGGCTTATAATACACACTTTCATCATGTTTCATAACAATCAGACCAGCAGTTTTTCTGTAATCCTGTTGACAAACAAACAAACAGACAAAAGGCACAGAATGGCTTCCTCCAAAACACGGTGCAACCATGAGAAATATTCAGTGAATATAATTATTGAATAATGTCTTTACTCTTTTATTATTTCAGATTCCCTGAATGCCAGAGTCCCAAGTTCAGCAAATATCTCCGTGTTGTGGCCTTTGCCTACCCTTACCTGTTCGACAACATTCCTCTGTTCTATAGGGTAGGGCTACTTCTCTGCACTTTACTAATCTGTGTCTTCACACAAAAGTTTGGAGCATGTAGTCCAGTATATCGACCAAAAGAATCACTGTATGTTGTGTCACATTCAGTATATTGTCCATCATTTTAAAACACAAATCTTTAACTGAAATTACTGGAAAACATAATATATTCTTTAAGGGTAACTCTTTTGCTCTGGTGCTTCAAGCTTACACTTTAAAATATACATTACATTGTATTATTATGTCCATGACAAGGGTTTTCTCAGCTGTGATATGATTGTTGATAATAATAAACAGTAGTTAACCTTGTAAATATTACACAAGTTATGATGATAAATCTGGTCCTGTTACAGTGACATATACTTTTTTTGTTCCCATATGAAGTGAATGTGGTGAGCAGTTAGTACAAACAGACAAAAAAAACTCCAATAGTTGATGCATAAAGAACTTTTCACCTGAAATTGTTGCCAAAAACATTCACTACATGGTACACTCAGTTAAATTACATGCTACAAAATAAAAGCTGTTTTAGTGTTTGAGTGACAACAAGCAAACACCCAGTGTTTCCTCCTGTAATGCTAAAGCCTTTTAACTGAAAATTAGGTGTATCAAACATTATACATCAGTCAAATCATCAGTGCCTGAGAGTTGCAAAGCATTTAATTAATTATACCATAAAAGATATTTATAATTTTATTCAGTCTAGTGCACTGATTAACAGCGTAGTTTACAAGTTTGCACTCTTCTTTTGGATGTGTGGTTTTAAAATAAGATAAAAGTGTACACATGTATTTTTATCTTGATTTATTTTGTGAAAATGAATTGTGTTTAATCAATCTGTTAAATGTGCTCTGTGTGTTGTGTTTACAGGTATTTCTGTGTGTAGGGGAGGGCTGTACAGACAATGAAACAAACATCCTCCACTACAACCACATCGCCTTGGCTCTCCTCACAGGCTTCCTGTTCGCCACACATTTACCTGAGCGCCTGGCACCTGGGAGCTTCGACTACATAGGTAAGACTGATCTGAGGAGTGGTTATTGTTGGTTTCAGCCCTACGGAGGATTGTCACCCAAGTCTGCTGTTCGTCTCAGCTCTGTGGAGAGCTTTACTGTTTTGGCTCATTCTCAGCACTCTCATCAGCGTTGTTTCCAGTCAGACAGATAAAGTCAGCGACTTGCTGCTTAAGATAGTTAACAGCTAGCTTAACACCTTAAACAGAGTTATATAAATAAATTCAAATGTTGCTTCATATCTGCTGGATGTTAAAATAAGCAACTGTTTGCTAACAAGTCATGACATCTCAGAGGGTGACGATATGTCAGTTGTGTTTATAGCTTTTTGCCCACAGTTGGCAAAGCAACTGCCAAACAAAGGCTTAAATTACAAATGTACAGTATTATGTACCTCAGTATTCGTAATATTTATTATTCATTGGACCATTTTCCTAATTGTTGCATTTGTAAGTACTTTTGTAGAGCATTTAAAGTCCTTGAGTGGGTTCTATACTGTAAATAAAGACAGTTATGTTGCAATAATGGTGATTCATATTACCATGAATATTATTTATGTTCATTTATTTATATATCCCTTTCTTATAAGCGTGTCTCAAATGACTTTACTGACAACAAACAACCTAAATCTATCAAATCAACAGTCAGTTACTGAACAAAAGGATGTGGTACAATGTGCAATGTATGTGTAGAGCAAAGCACCAGATTCAGAAGAGCAGGTTAGACAGAGACTGACATATTACAGACTGCTCACCACCAACCTTAGACCCTCATTATATGCAAGGAGAAGTTCTCAAAAAACCTTGAACAGGCCAAGTCAAAGACAATTATATCAATATACAAATAGAAAATGTGTAAATATGTAACATTATTTTAGAAGTACGGAACAACTTCACAAAATGGGTGGACTGAAGGGTTTCCATAATGATGCATTCATGTGCACCTGCACTGAAGTTTGCTTGAATGCAGCGTTTTTTACAGCTCATTGTCAGATCATCTCAGATCTTAGACTACAGATAAACACTGGATTCACATTTGTGTTAAACATTGTGAAATAACATTAATGCTTAACCAGCTCCAAATGTTTCTATTCTTTATTAAACCAGTCAACAGGGTGACTCATTTGCTCAGTTATGAGGGTTTGATTCATTTTTAACTCTTTCTGCTGACTGTGTTGCCTGAGCTCAAACATGACTCGACTGCTCCCTCTGCAGGTCACAGCCATCAACTCTTCCACGTGTGCGGCATCCTCGGCACCCACTTCCAGATGAAGGCCATTGAACAGGACATGGTGACACGGCGCCCATGGCTCCTTGAACAATCCATACCCAACACGTTCGCCAACTCTCTGGGTGCAGCGCTGTTCTGCGTGGTGGTGAATTTGACTATCATCATCCTCTACAGTCTACCTCTCCTCTCTGCCCCAGTCTGCCCAGAAAAGAAACACGATAATGGTCCAAAGAAAGCCTCCACCAAGGTCTGCCCCTGCTGGTAAATCGGCTGAGGGATCCCAGCTGGTCACGAGACCTACAGACATGTGAGAAAAGTGCATTATGGGTGAAAACATTGTAAGAAACACTCCTGAGCTACAGGAGCTGGTGTGATGTTGAAGTGAATTATAACTTGCAGTCTGCACTAAACTCACGGTGGTATTTTTCAGAGATCACTATGATGTGACTGCTGCTAGATGGATGGGTACAAAAAAAAGGGCATAAGCTGCACAAACAACACATACAATGCAACTTTAACAAAATACGTATGTATATGAATCTAAATGTTTCTGAGGAAACTAAACAAACAAATGTAGCCAGTTAGCTACATTATGAGGCAGTGTTCATATTGTTTATAAATCTTTTTTTTACCTTAATTCTCTGATTTCCACATGTGGGAAATGAAGAGGAGGAACAGCAATTGTGTGAAATTTAAAATGCTAATTTTACTTTGAATTTAAAATGAAAGTGCTGAATTTAGACACTTATAGAGCTTGTGCTTGTACACAAACCTGTTGGACTGATCATGTTCAGTAAAAGCAGTGTGACTGGACATCGCTCACATGAAACGTCAAGACAAGAGACAGTTATGATAAGGGAAGAAAATAGCTTTGCTCATGAGTTTGAGCTGCCTGCAAAGTGGAGTTACTGTTCAGTTATGTAATACAGAGTAAATGTTTTCAGAGTTACCGTATTTCCCTCATATGATTGCTGTTTATGATCTGTTAGACCTGTATGATGTGTCACATTGTTACGTTAATTTAAAACTGAGAGTATTTATGTGCAATGTTATTTATTATGATTTTTCAAATAAACTATTTACCAAACCTGCCTGCATGTCGTTCTATTTGTAAACAGGAGTTTGTAACCTGTGTTGTATCTCCAGTTTAATAAAACTGTTTATTGAAGTATCAATTAATGTTTTTAAGTCAAACACAAATACAGTAACATATATAGATATAGGCTCAATAGTATACGATTATACTAGGACGTAGGGGGACGAACGAACAACAAGGAGTTAACAGGTGCCGTGTGAAAATGTATAGCATGATAACTTTACATACATAGAAAATAAGATAGGCAGGATAATGCAAGGAACTTTTTATAAACAAAACATGGGCACAAAAATGGAGGTAAAAACAAAGTAGATACAGGTCGTTTGTTAATTTCAATGCAATTAAGTCTAACAGTTTTTTTTCCAAGTTCTAATGTTTTCAGGTGGCAGATGGGGTGTGGGGTGAGTATAGGTGAAAATATCATTTTCGATTGTTGAAGAATCGCTGTTCAGATAAGATAAAGTTATGGCGTGGTCCGATTGTGCATTGTTTTCCAAGAATAGGTAAAATAAATCACGTCTCACCCAGGCCTAAAGGACCGAAAGGTTGTTCCTAAATAATGATGGTTGTTGGAAATAGTTTGAGTAGGCGTGTTGTGGAGATCACTAGAAGTGGAAGAACTAGTACGTATATTGTTTGGACCATTGAGAGGTTTAAGAAGAAGAAAAAAAAATGTCAGAACTGAATTATGTTCTTTCGGTTCAAACCACAGTCATGAGGGACAGGTTATAATGATTTAGGTTATGTAAAGCATTTCTTGCTTCTGACCAGGAAACTATCCAAGGTAAACCATTTAATTAATAACGAGTAAACACACAGATATCAAGACATACCAGGAATGGTGGAAGGGAATGACATACTTAAAATTACAACATGAAGACAAAAATATGTGGGGATTTATAAAAAAATAAGTAAAATATGGGAAAAAGCATTAAAAAAAGGTAAACAGTTATTAAATCTTCAGGCATAAAATATAGAAAAGAAACAAACGTATTAAGGAAAGAAAGAAATGAAACAAAAAAACCAAAACAAAAGAGTTAAACTCAGAAACAACAGTCCGACACACGCGTCATTGCGGCTGACCTGAGAGGAGGGGGCGGGACGTTCCGGCTCTGGAGCTGCCACTGGCGATTGGTTGGAGAGAATCCACCCCCGCCGGTCGGAAAAACGTGCATAACACAGAGGGAGGAATTTTTGTCAAATCGGAGAAGAAGAGGCGGCTCTTTTGTTGTTCAGCGGAGGATGGGAGAGGATGGTTCAAAACAAGCAACAACACGACAATGCAGAGGAGCAGGGTTGAGTACTAACACGAACTGCTTCACAGTCAGCCCTGCAACCGAGGAAACAGCCCGTTAGACGAAGCCGCTGTGGTGTGTGTAAAAACTGGCAAGGCCAGTTCGGTAACCCAACGCAACTAAGCGTAACCTGCTGACGGTTGGTGCTCCCGAAATCGAGCCCGTCGCCTAACCGTTTTTAGCCGGATGGTCTGGCTCCGGCTCCGCTCTCGGTGTTCTGAACTTCGCATTCATTTTTATTTAAAATGATGTATATCTCCTGTTAAGGAATCTAAAACATTTTAGTGGAATGTGGTTTGTTGAACTCCGTCACCTGTGGGTTGACGTTTAGCGGAACACCTGAGCGTAAGGTCACCTGGCCAGCAGGTTATCAAGGTTACACATTATAGATAAATATTATATCTGACTTCCACCCAACAACATACCATAGGCAGTCATTAAAACATAATATACCTTTTATTTATTTATTTAGTTTATTTTATTTATTTATATATACTTTATAATTTATTTATTTTATTTATATACGTTTATATTATTTATGTTATATGTATTTATGTGTAGTTATTGTATTAACTATAATATAGTTCACTGGTTGGGTTTGTCGCTTTCAGTTGGTAGATTAAAGGACAAAGTTTCTGTGGAAGCCCTTTTTTCATCTCTAACAACCTAAACAGACGACATTTATTCGGGTTTTTTTGTGACTCATGATGCATTATTGAATTCAGCTTCCCTCACTTCTTCCAACACCCTCAGCGAGAGGTCTCGAAACTTGTGGTTATACTCTTAATTCATACCCAGCAGAGGATAAACTCCCTACTCTTGCATATTTATCTGACCAGAAAATGGCACATTGTCACTGAACCTGTGCTGCTTTACTTCAGGGAGTTCAGGATCATTATGACGTTAACATTAGCCACAGGAGAAGAGCAGAGTTTGCCATCAATACTGTCCCACAGAATATATGGTGAGACAATCACATACAGTTACACACTTTGAGGGAAAGTATTCCTTATTCCATCCACGCAGGAAAACTGGATAATATGTCATGCTGTCTATCTTTATACAATAAAGAGAAAAACACCAAATGAAGGCCAGAAACATACCCTCTTATCGGCCCTTTGCACACATTTACAGGCACCTTTGGCCTTTGCTATTATTTGTACCAAATAAAATACTTTTTAAAAATTGTGTTTCTGTTTTAATTGTATATGAAGAGGTCGTTTAAAGTCATGTGAAACAAGTAGAACAACAAGGGTAACGTTCAGGTGTACACATACGTTTGTCCATGTAGATACTTGAGTGAACTATCTAAACTCTATATATATATATATATATATATATATATATATATCTCTTTTGTTGTGTTTGACATTGATTCTGTTTTGCTTTATGACTTGCAGCAAAGGGAAGACTCCTCGGAGGCATGGCCCAAAAAAGGCGTCCAACATTGACAAAGATCCCGTTGGAGTAAGTGAACAATTTACTTTATTTCTCACATTGAAACAATATTACAGCACAATCACAGTAAACGGGAAGCTTGTTTCCCTGTTTAAGCCCTCAATAAACGTTTGTGGAACTGATGTACTAAACCAGGATTAATGAGACTCAGTCTTCAAGATATCGCGTTCAAACGAGGTTTAATTTAAACACAGTTCTTCCAGTTATGATGGCTTCATCACATCCTCATCTACTCATCTCTCTCTGTAGGTTTACTGCCGTATACGTCCACTTGGAGCAGAAGATGAGGAGTGTTGTGTTGAGATGATCAGCAGCTCCACCATTCAGCTACACGCTCCCGATGGCCTTAAAGCCAACCGTAATGGGGAATACAAAGAGGTAAGTGTGCCGCAGCAAGTTTTCTGAGCATGTTAAGGACGTCGACCACCTGCATCTATATTTAGACATCTCAATAAAGAAAAACAGAAAACATATGACTGCCACCACTGATTTATTTCAGCTGACATAGGAACTCTTGTGCGGTTGTTTGCTCAGAGAGTCAAGTCAAGTGTTAAAAACACACATACATCTATAAAACATATA